TGATTAGAGTGGAAAGAAATTAGTCTTTACTGAGAAGTTTGTTTAAGAGACACTCGACTCAATCTCCAGCTCCCTCCTTCCAAATCAGACGATGGCCCCAAGCCAGAGGAACAGACCACGTTTCTGAGAGCCATCTGCACCCGTCCAATTGCCGTTTGACTGCCTGGGCCTGATGTTGCTAATTATATCTGACCCAGCAGAGGCGCTTGTGCTGGGTCAGATGATCAGTCTTGACAACAACAGCCAGAAAAGATGAAAAACAACCCAGAGGAACAGCGGGTCTTCAGGCTTGCCAGAGACCAAGTAGCCAAACCCAGGCCTGACACAGACCATCCTGCAACCAGACCACCCGTTGGTCCCAAGCACTGGAAGACAACCCACAGGGCAAAAATCAGCAGTATCATGAGCCACGGTGTCCAGATCAGACAGTTTACCAGTGGTGATTCCAGCATCACGGTTCAACATAGTGCACACACTCCAGACCAGGTAGGGCCAGGAAGATGAAAGCAGCAAACCTCAGGGGGACTTCAACGAAGCCAAGGCAACTCTCTGTTCTCTGAAATCCACCAAGGACTTGACAAAAGGCATTTGGGCACCAGCACAAGTCTTTTCATGGGTGTCCTGGTGCTATAATGGTCCCTTGAGGATGGAGACCTCATGCTATTGTGACCCAAGTGCCTGCTGAGCCTTCTCCTGCCACAGCACGCGCAGAGAATTGGGGTACTGCCCTGAGCTGCCTGCTGAGTCAGATCTTGCAGACCCATATCTGCTGCAAGCAATGTGTGGCTCTGCTGTGGGCACCCAAGCTGTGCTGGTGCTCAGACAAATCTCTCCCCCGCAATGGGATGAACTTAACCCACAGTGAAGAGGAGAGGAAGCCCCCAATGCACCAATGGGTCTGAGGCTCCAGCCCTGCCTACCTCTGGAGGGGGATTCCTGGCACATCCCTGCTGCAGGTGGGGCTCCGAGGGTGTCCTCTGACCCATCTCAGCTCCAGCAACATTCATCTCCCTTTTCTGAGCCGTGAAGGAGAGCAGCGAGGAGCTACTGCTGAGCGAGAGCCCAGCCAGAAGAAAAGGAAGAAAAACCTTGTAAAGCCAAATTCTCCTTTCCTATTGCAGGCACTGGTATTACACCAGAGACACATTTGGCCCCACGGGTTTAACAGCACTCAAGAGGAAGAGAGTTTTCCTGTCTATCATGATATCACCAAGTGTAATGCAGCCTAATCAGACAACGCAGATTGCTGGCAAAAGACAGGCACAGGCTGGCACTGCTCCAAGGGCTTTATATTGCTTTATGGCTCTGGGGCACCTGACCCATTACAGATAAGTGGTATCAGAAGCTTTATTGGAGCCCAGCAGCCTGACACCAGCATCACCCTCCTCCCCTCACACACACCAGTGAATGCCTTTCCCCACCAGCCAAAACAAACCACTTGCTCTCCCAGCCTCCCCCAGACCCCAGCAGAGGTTCCTGGGAGCCAACCAGCAGTTTATAGCCCCGAGCAAGTGCTGCGCAGCTGAAATCAGTGCAGAGCAATGAAATCAGAGGAAATGACCTACAAATGACAGGCATGATTTCAAATGAACCTGCAGTTTAGCCCCATTGTTAGATCTGGTTTGCTCTAGACTGTAGCTCTGATAGCTTAATTGCTTGTCTGTTTGCTGTGGGAAGTACAGCCACAACAGTGGACGATTTATAGCGGCTCGGGAGCTGCTTCTTCACTGTCCCCTTTGCCTGGTTCTGCTCATTCTCAGCCCAGTCCCGCTAACCTACTGTAACATCTCCCTGACCTGCCCTTACAACACTTTTGGGGGAGATCTGAGGCCTGCCAAACTAATTTCTTCGCATGAACTAGGAAGGAGTCAGAATTTCATCCCCTGAGTCGGTTGAATTTTGTGTTCTTAATTTCACCATACTGGCTAACCCCTGCCTTTGCCCTTTCTGGCTGAGGAGTCCAGCCTAAGGCACAGCCCAGAGCAAACCCTCCACCACCACAAACTCTGCAAGGATTTTTCCCTCTTACTAGCCTTGCTAAGCCAGCAGGTCTGAGAATGATCTGTGTTTGTCTTGGTTATCTGAGGCGACAGCGGAATGGAGAGATCAGACAGTGCGTGCTCAATCAGCCAGCACTAAAGGAGCTGCATTAGCGATTATTATATTCAGCCTTATCGCCTAAGGACAATTTCACGAAAGTTGCCACATCGGCCCACGAAAGCACGGTCTGAAACACCCAGACTATTTTTCAAGGGTCCTAGATTAAAGAAGAGAATCGGAGGTTGGAAATGTGATTGAAGCCCAGAGCAAGGGAGGACGGTGGGTAGTAAGGCGGGGTGCGGGGCCGTGCACCAAGGGGGAGCACGCACTGATTGATTCAATTACAGCCTGTCCCAGCAGGGCTGAGAGCCTTTTTGTTAAGGCCACCGCCAGAGACTGAACCCGGACCCAGAATCTTGTGAGAGCTGGGGCTAAAGCAGCGTCCGATCGTGTCACTCTGTGCTGGGCAGGGGGGGGGGACGGCTGCCCGCGGGCAGGCGCTGGGCTGCAGGAGAGCAGGCATCAGCTCATCTCCCACCGCCGTGTTCCCATCGCCAGCGATCGCTCTGCCGCTGCCAGGGCCGCTTTGCTCACCGACACAGCTACTGAGCCCCAAGCAAGTGCTTTCTCCAGCCCTGAGTGTGGCTGAGATGAAAGATGAACTGATTTGTTCCTGTCGGGATGCATCACCGGGATTCCTGAGAAGTGTTTCAGCAATGATTCTTCTCTTACAGAACAGCCTCGCCTTGTGTTTCCCAAGCCACTTGCTGCGGAAAGAGAGGGGTTATCAGATCAGGGGCAGGGCAGGACCCAGCTCCAGGCAGGCAGACCCTGTTCTCCCCATCAGAGCCCCTTTGCCCAGCCACAGCCACCCCACAGAGATGCTGGTGCCTTCCCCTGCTCTTCGCTGCAGCCTCTTGTGCAGGCAGCTGCCTTTATTCATTCTTTGCCCCCCGGGGGGGTTCTGCAGCACCCCAGCACCCATGCCTGTGCCCTGGCTGGAGGGTGTTGGGGCGGATCTGCGTAGGGATCACCCCGTTTCTGCAGGGGAGCAGGCAGTGAGGCTCCACACCACGCTCTGCTGCTTTGGTTTCTGTCTGAATTGCTCCACTCCCTTTCCGGTTTCATCACTTTCAATCTGACACTCGCTTTAATTGGGATAAATATCACAACCCCTTGTGTAACAGAACCTCTTGCGACAGCGCCCCGGGGTTCCTCACTCCTGCCTACTCCCATCTTGCTCTCCCCCTCCAGGAGCATGTTCACAGGCTGCCGAGGTGGTTTGGGGCCAAGGCACCGAGCCAGAGCAAAGCCCTCATCGACACCCCGCAGCCAGCAACCCCGCTGCAGCCAGGGCCCCTTCACCCAACAGCTGGAAGGAGAAATCTCAGGGTAAAACCCCACATGGAAGTTGCAGTGTTGGGGCTGGGCAGCAGTAAATCACAGCTGTGTCCTCAGGGGATGGAAGGACGCCTGCCTTCAGCCTCTGCAGCGGAGTCGGGAACTCTCTGGACGGTAACATGGTCCTGAGAGCTGCGACGATGGGGAAGAACCAGCCCCGGTCTGTGCCAGGGGTCTCAGCCCCTGCGCTGGGCTAGGCAGCTGCTCATCCTGCCCAGAAACCAAACTTGAAACAGAGAAAGGGAAGGGGAAACGATACCTCTCATCTGATGGCGACAGCACGGATGTGGCCTGGAAGATTCCACCAGCCTCTCTACCAAAGTGGCTCTTTGAAGAAGTGACTCTGGTTGCTTTTGGGTAACCGAGCTGCCCTCAAAGTCCCAGGCCACCAAATGCCTTTGCAGGCACCTTCCCTGCGCATGTTCGAGCCGGTGCCTCCACCTCTGAGTTGCTTCTCCCAATCCTCCTCCGACCCCGAGGGAACTGGGAAGGGCTCACTGCGCTTCGCTGGGCAGTGGCAGGGATGCATCTCCCTCATCTCTCTGGTGCAGCCGCAAAAAACCCCTTGCAGGGTAACTTGATGTCTGCCTCTCCTGCCTGATGGGTTCCCAGATGGGTTAACACCTTCTTGTTTGTGCTTTGAAGAGCTCGGTCCTCTGCCATATCCCGCAGCTCTGTGTGTCATCACCAGGAGAGCTGGTGCGTGACATCTTGCTGGGGAACAAGTCCGTGCTCCCAGTCACTCCAAGGCTGGCTCCAGGCAGCACAGGCTCCGGGGCAGATGGAAACTAAACCCCAGCTCCTCCAGCTGCTGCTCCTCATGCGTGCAGCCCAGAGCAGCCCAACACACGGGCACCAGCAGGAGCAGAGCACGAGACACAGTGCTGTCGTGGTTTGGCCATTCTCAGCATATTTCTTCTCTTCAGCATCAGATTTTCCCCTTTGAAAAGCAGAACTTAATTTCCCATGAGATGTGAAACTCTTAAACAGAAAGTGAAGGCTGAGTTTAGCCTCTTGAGGTCTTTGCCTAAGCCATCCCCTCGCTTCTGACCCCCTTCTCAGCACCCCAGATGCCAAAGTTATGGCTCAGGCTGAGCAACTTCAGAAGGAAGAGGCTGGGGGGGTCTCCCTGGCCCAGAGGAGCAGCCATACGTGATGCCCTGTGCTAGAGCAGCGAGGCAGCACCCGCGCCCTGGGGGAAGTGGAGCCGGGGCAGGAAGCCGAGGAGCGGCAAGGTGGCAGTGAAAGGCTCCTTCGAGGGTGGACAGTGACGACATGGCCACTGCCGGGGACGCGTAGCTCCGGGGAGCGAGGGCTGAGCCTGCAGCCGCCCTCTGAGCAGGCAGGGGGAAAGGCTCCTGGTCTGGACCTGGATTCTCCTCCCAGGTGAGAGTGGGATCTTCTCGTGTTGATGGGAGAGGGTAAGGGCTCACCGGGGCTGTGCCAGCCTTCCAACATCTGCTTCCTCACCCAGTAGGGGTGGAAATGCCCAACAGATACATTTCTTCCCTACTTTGACGGGCCCTGAGCAGGTGACAGCCGAGCAGGGTGGCTCGCTGATGGTGTCCTGCAGCTACGAGCCGGGCTACAAGCTCTACCCCAAGTACTGGTGCCGCTCGGGCTTCCTCTATCCTATGACCCCCCAGTGCTGTGTGAGCAGTGGGCAGGGCAGGCAGGGTGGGCTTTGTACCTTGTGCTAGCCAGCAGAGATGGCTTTAACAGAAACTTAAACGCTTTGGGGTGGGCAGCAGCGTGGCAGGGGGGGTTGGCTTGGGGGAGGGCAGAGGTGAAGCTCCACAGTGGGTTGCAGAGCAGAGAGGGGGGACATTTCGCATTTCTTCCTTTCTTTTAAACCTGGCATTGGCAGAGCCTGGGGGGCACCTGCTCTGCCCAGGACTGGAGGGACAGCTCTCCTCGGGAGAGCCCTCTGCCAGAAGCAGAAGTGGGTTTCCAGGCACTGGGGTTTCATGGGGAGGCAAAGAGAGACCAACCGGT